TCAGACACTCAACCAACTGAGCCACCCAGGTGGCCTATGACCTTATATTTTAAAAATGGAATAGTAACGTCTGGGGGAAGCATGGTTTACACTGGATTTTAATGACATTTTAAATCAATAGCAAAAAAATGTGTCCCAAATCAGCACACAGATAATTGCCAAATGTAAAGCTTAGACATGGCAATCAGAGAGATCAGAAGATCTGGAAATCACAGTGAGATGGAGAAACTTTAGTAGGCTCTATGAATGCCAGAATTCGGTGAGAATAAAATGGATAACTTGAGAGATGGTGTGAGTGTAGGGTGGTAAGCATTGGTCTGGAAGGCACAAGCCCCAGTTCCCATCTTGGGCCTCAGCTCACTCCTCCTGGGAGGAACATATGGGTCACTAAGTCCCTTTAAGGCCATGCCTATCTCAAGCTCCCCACATGGTTCTCTAGGAGAAGCATGAAAATGTCCAGGAGCTCCTTGTCTTGCAAACACTCTTTCCTTGACCCTTGATTGTGGAGAGAATGTCTCTGCCCAGAAGTAGGAGTGGATGGGGAAATGTCCTGTAGATGCTTGACCTTGCCTCCTTGAATACTGAAGGAGCACGGATGGCCTCAGCCTTTCCCAGAAGAAGCATCTCACTTTAAATTCCTCCCAATTCTAGTCAAAATTCTTTTGATGGTCATTAAAATTACATGAGTGGCTTCATGCAATTTTAATGTTCTCTACCAACAAGTTCTGCAGGAGAAAAACCCCCAGGCACACCCATTGATCACTCTAAGTAGATACAACAAAGCATTTCAAGACAGGAGTTTTAACCAGAAAGAAAATGAAATGAATATTTCATTTATGATGGGTCATCTGTAAGGAATTTTTTCTAATTTTTTCATTAAAAAATCAAACAACTAAATCCAACCTCTTGTAGAGGCATTGACCAAGCAGATACCAACCTCATGGATTTATCAAACATCGTCTCAACCAAGCTTTCTTGTAACAACTGCACTGGATTTACAAGCCAATAACTTCTAAGATAGTTTTGCCAACCAACTGAACTAATCTGGTTTTGCGCTTTGTAAAAATAGATGCTTGTCCCTGGATCTCTCACTGCTACTACCCTAATATCCCCACAACTCAGTGTCTGTGAATCAAATCTTGGGCTTGGACAGCATTCTGTGATGATCCCCAGTATTCCTGTTTCCTGGTGTCCACATCCAGTATAATCCTCTGACCTTGAACATATAATCTTCTGGCCTATGAATATAAAAGATTTCAGTCCTGTGATTAGATTATGATACGCAGTTGACACTTGAACAAAGGAGCGCAAACCCCTTGACACAGTGGAAAATCCACACATAACTTTTTACACCCCAAAACTTAACTACTAATAGACTACTGGTTTTTGTTTTGTTTTGTTTATTTATTTTTGAGAGAGAGAGGGAGATGCAGAATTCGAAGCAGGCTCCAGGCTCCGAGCTGTCAACACAGAGCCCAATACAGGGCTCAAACGCAGGAGCCATGAGATCATGACCTGAGCTGAAGTCAAACACTTAATTGATTGAGCCACTCAGATACTCCCTAATAGCCTACTGTTGACCTGAAGCCTTACCAATAACATAAGTTGTCGATTAACACATATTTTGTATGTTATACATTTTTTCGTACAATAAGCTAGAGAAAAGAAAATCATAAGGAAGAGTAAATGCATTTACAGTACTCTGCAGTATATACTGGGAAAAAAAAGATTGTGCTTCTAAGTGAACCCAAACAGTTCAAACCCATGTTGTTCAAGGGTCAACTTTAAATCAGCATGATTTCAGCCTTGTGACACTCTGAGTAGAGAACTCAGGTCAGCCATGTGCAAACTTAGGACCTATAAGACAGCACAAGATGATGAATGGGCATTGTTTTAGGCCATTAAGTTCATGGAAATTTGTTATGCAGCAATGTGTGGGGAAATCCATACTGGTGATGGAGATTAGAGGGTGTCAAACAAACTCTGCTAATGTCAAAGATGATCCAACTGCAAATTCTGTCCTGCCAAAGGCAAGAGAGATGGTTTGAAGGGAGAGCAATCAGAATGTGAGGGAGACATGAAACCATATTCTAAGATGGGAACCTTAAAAAACTCTTGGGCCAGAGAAAAGATGGTTGGCCTCAAAAAAAGAAGCTTGATTTGAGTCTTCAACGACCAGATGAGCTGTTCTGTGTCAGAGTTATTAGACATGCCCAAATTGCGGGAAGCACAAGATGGATGTAATCTCAACATACCGAAGGATGCTCTAACGCCCCAAGATGCCTAGCAATGGGAAGGGCAACCTTTATTATCTAGACTTCTAATTCAGTCCAAATTCCTAATTCATTCCAAGTACAAAACATACTACTGAATTAAATTAAAAACAAGAGGATGGGGAGCCTAGGCAGTTCAATCAGTTAAGTACCCAACTCTTGATGGTCAGTTCAAGTCATGACCTTAACAGTTGTGAGATCGAGGCCCATGTCACGCTGACAGAACAAAGTCTGCTTGGGATTCCCTTTCTCTCTCTCTCTCTCTCTCTCTCTCTCTCTGCCCTTCCCAGATGTGAGGGTGAAATGACATGGCATCATGCCAGGGACAAAGCGACACCTGAATCCTGTCCTCACAACTTTCCAAAAGGATAAACATAAACTAAGGGAAAAGAAGATGTAGCACACTCTAGGGCTTTAGCCTCAAATCTCAGGGTAAAATTTTACCAAGTATGACTGCATCTATTAGAATATTCCCTTTCTTAAGCAGGGGTTTCCCAATAGCCGGACCCCAAAGCACCCTGAAGACCTATTCTGATTATTTCACCCCTAAAACAAAATCCCAAGTGTTGAGTGTCACAACCCCTAATTTGAAAAAAATATTATTTCTGCCATGGAAAAACAGAAGAGAGCAAATGAGACCTAAGCAAGTCAGGAAAGGAATGCAGTGCCCAGAGGAGGCTGACCTAGGCTACCCCCTCCAAGCCTTTCTTCACCCAAGGAGAGGCAAACAGTTTGGACTGCTTGTCATTCAGGGGTGTCCTTTGACTGCCCCTATAGAAATTCCTCTGACCTCTCTGCAATGTTAGAGTCTCCATTTCCTGACTTCCACCTCACTTCATTATATTGCTTGCTCTGCTCATTTATTCGGAGCACATCCTCCAATAGCTTTCTGAGAAAAGGTAATAGAAGCTAATTTTAAAACTTGTCTAGCTCAAATGGCATTAGTCTTTCTTCCTCCTTTAGTGATGTTTTCCTCAGTATGGAATTCTAAAATGGATATATTTTTCTCACAATATGGAAGGATTGCCCCATTGTACACTACTTTCCTATACTGCTCTTGAAAAGCCTGAAGTCATTCTGATTATTTTACATGGTCTGTTTTTTCCTTTGTGCTTTGGTGTGGTTTTTCTTATTCCTAGCCCTTGATATCTTCTCAGTGGCCCCCTGCTATATGGAAATTCATGTCTTTCTAAAATTTCTTCCTTATATAATTTCCGTCAATACCCTGTTCTCACACAGGCTGGGGAGAGCCTCCTCACAAGTGATGGCAAACATTATATGCTACTGGCCTGCATAATTGACTAGTTCTTAATGCTAACTAGGGCACCAGGGGAGGGAGCCTTCTGTTCCAGAGCATCGCCTGAGTAGAAAAAAGTAGGCTAATTCCTTCACCCCAAAACTGTCCAAGGTCATTGGGAGAGCATCAGCTGTGCAGGATTCAGAATTGCTCTCTCATCTCAGAGCCCATCTGACAGAATTTACCAATTCAGCTGCTATCTCTTCTGACAAATCTGGATGTCTGTCCTCCAAACCCTTCTCCCTATTAGATAGAATTCTTCTTTATATATACTTGCTACCCAATTTCTATCCTATATAATTTTTCCTCCATCTTCTCTGTTCTTTCTTTCTGAAACTTGGATGTTGGGACTTCATGGATTGATTATTTAATGTGATTTATTCTTCCCTATTTCTTATCTCTATCTTTCTGTACTTCCACTTGGGAGATTTCTGAAACTTTATCTGCTAACACTTCTATGGAATTTTTTTAAATTCCTGCTATCATAAATTTAATCTTCAATAACTTTCTTATTCTATTTTTCCTTTACATACCAGCCTATTCCTGTCTGGAGAGAGCAATACTTTATTTAAATAGTGGATTTCTAAGTTTTCTTATGCTTCTCACCATCTTTGTACCCTTTCTTTGCCCTGTGGTTTTTTTGTCTGCTTTTGTTTTGAGTTCTTGCTATTGTTTTTGTCTCTTGTTCCTGTAAGAAACATTCTTTAAATGTCTGGTGGCTTTCAGCCACTCATAATCCAGCCTGAGGCACTCAGATTGGAAGCATGGCATGGAAAGGCAAAACTTACCAGCTAAGCAGTGACAAATATCCCACTGGCTTTTCCTTTAATGAAGAGTAAGTCACTTTGCTTTTCTTCAATGCACATTGCACATAAGAACTGGTGGCCCAAAGAAGACTTCTCTCTCTCTGTAAATCCAAGCACAGGCTGTAGCTGTCTATAATCTGTCTACACTGTGATAAGAATAGCTGTTTAAATCCCTCTGGCTTGGTCAGGCACAAGACAGCTACTAGTTTATATATTCCATAAGCTTCCCTGTGACTGACCACCTCTATGTGCAAAAGCGAGTCAGGTTCTTCACACAACTAATCTTCTCTCTATGATGCTCCCTCCTGGTCTCTCAAATTTCAGGATTTTGAACTATTTCATATGTGGTAAATGCCATCAGGAGAGCTGACCATCAGCCACAAGACTGAATTGCCATTTCTGGTCCTGGTCCTCACAAGAACCCTCCCCAAGAGCATCAGTGACTCCATCTTCAGAAGAAGGTGATGACTTGGGTCTGACATCAAAGTCCAGGTTTGCACTGTGTAGCTGGCTCTCATCTTACCCTATGGAATTTACTTTTGTTCTGCAAAGAGAATGTGGTTTCTAGGGGGGAGGGGATATCATCATTCCATATGGAACTGCTAGGCAGGGTGGTAAGGGGACAGAGGGACAGACCCAGAAGATGCTGCTTCTCCTGCTCAGCTGTCTCCTGCCTGCCATCAATGGAGAGAGCTGCCTTGTCTGCTGGCCAGAACTGTCTGCATTGATAGACTATGATCTGCAGATTCTTTGGGGCACCCCAGGGCCACCCACAGAACTCTCCCAAAGCCTCCACACCCTATTCCTGAAGGATCGTGTCTTTGTCAAACCCTGGTATCTTGGTGAGGCACAGCCTAAAGATCAGGGATTCCTTTACTTGGCTTGGGCTTTTCTTATACCCCCAACTGCCCTTTATCCCATGTCCCGTTCTCAGATCAGGACCATATGGAAGAAGCAGCAGCCGAATTATTCTATCACGTAGATGAAGCCATCAAGAAGTTCCGAGATAGTGAGGAAGCCCCCAGGCTTAGGTTGATAAAACCCAGTCCCCAAAGTCACTCCCAGAAGGCCCACTGGCCTGGGGTGGGGATGTGTGGTGAAGAGTGGTGACAGGTACAGCATCTGTGTGCTCTGTGCAGTTTTTGTTTAAAAAACTGACTTGAATTCCCAACCTTGAAAGAGTTATGCAATTGATCTCAACTATAAAATGTGGATGATAAATGAACCCTTCCCCTCCTCTTCCTCCCAGATAAACCATCACTTTTGGAAGAGATTCATATCCAGAAGAAGGTGTTTACTGAGAAGTTGGATGAGATATCTGAGGAGCTGAAGGAGAAGGGTGAGAGGTGGAGCTGGCCCCCACCCACCACCCAGTCCTTCACCTCCCCAGGACTGAGGAGAGCAGAGCCTAGTCTGCAGCCTTTCCTCCATCTTTTCCCAGGAGCCCCCACCCCTGCCCACACACTGGATGCCTGTCCATGCCTCCTCCCAGCTCCCTTTCCTGCTCACACCCCAACCCTTCCTGGCTCTGTCTGCCTCCCTAGCACCTCAGTTTCTCTACCATCTCACTCTCCCTGGCAGCCTGCAACAAGTCCTGTGGTAAGTAAGTGTGGAGACCTGGGTGGGGGAATGAGGGGTGGGGTGCACATGGCCCTGGCTAAGGCTCCTGACTATCCCCTCTCACAGACCTACATTCCACACTGGAGGTCATGAACTGTGCCAACTGCAAGACACACTTCCTCACCTGCAAAGACCCAGCTCTTTGCCCAGGTCAGTGGCAGCAGGTCAACCTGCCTCTAGCCTGCCCCCACTCCATCCCAGATCACTGTTGTCTCTGTCTGGATCGCCTTCATCCTCTGCCCAGCCCCGAGCTCTTCTTTTTCTCCATCCTCACCAGAGAAGATAACACCTGCTGGGATTTCTTGGTGTCATATGTACAGCTTCAGAGCCATAGAGGACATGTTCTGCCTCTAGGCAGCTTAGTCCTTTTTCATGGGACTGAAACTGAACTCTTACTTGTCTTTCAAAGTCCAACTAAAAATCCTGTTTCCTAAGAATGTTTCCCCGACCAGCTCCCACCCCCTGAGGCTCATCAGCCCTCCTAGTGGCTACTTCTCCTCTGCTCTGTCCTGCTTTGCTTCCCCTGTTTCCCTCCTAGAGCACAGGGACCATATCCCACTCCTCTCTAGAAATATGTGGGGCACACAGTAGGTGCTCAGTAAGTGTATGCAAACAAATGACTGAGTGGGCAAATAAAAGGAGGAAAGAACGTAGTAAATAAAAGGAAGAGAGAAGAGGCTTGGATGGCCCTCACTGTCCCCCAAACACCTGGCTCCCTCTTTTATATCCTCAGCCAGTACTGGGAATGCCTTTGTGTGGGTTGTGAGCCTTGGCATTATTCTGTTCCTGGCATCCATAGCTGGAAGTGGGTGAGTGACTCTCCCAGCCCCAGCATCCCTAGGAAAGACACACCTACTCCTTCACTAACCTACCTCAACCCTGTTTCCTAGTCCAGATGGTACATTTTCTGGCGTGAGAAGAGGAAGAAGGAAGCTGAAAAGGTGCTGGGAAGGGAGACCCCTGCCAGAATATAGGGCTCCCAAGGAGGGAAAGCTGGGGGAAGCAAGGCTGGAGGCCCCAAATCTGACTCCCACCGTCTGACATCCAGAGCACAGTGAGACCAGGGCTGGGGCTCAGAGAGCCCCATCTCCCCCTAGTATAAGCACAACCCCAGGGCCAGGGGTCCAGGACACAGTGGTAGCAAAGCTCCACAAAGTGCCCTCTGCCTATACCTGTTCCTGTCCCTCTGCAGACCCTGGGCCACTGTGCTCCCCGACTTGGACAGATGATCAACATAGCCCTCCCACCCTCCGTTCCTGGTTGGGTTTGGCAAGCAGGAGTTCAGAGGGACCGAGGCAAAGGCATGTGAGAGGTCAGGACTTTTCTCTCTCAGCAGGAACCCAGCAGTTCACTGGTCTTCTGCAGCTGAGCAGAGATAGTGCAGTTGCTGTCAGGAAGCTCTCTAATCACTGAGTTCCAATAACTGTCCTTCCCTGACCTGCTCAGACCTGGGGTGGTCGCAATTCTGTCACCCAATGGACCACCCTCTGTCTTGTGGTTTCCCTATGTCCATACCTTATAAATAACTTTTATTAAAATACCTTCTTGTTGGGGCGCCTGGGTGGCTCAGTTGGTTAAGCGTCTGACTTCGGCTCAGGTCATGATCTCACAGTCCGTGGGTTTGAGCCCCACATCGGGCTCTGTGCTGACAGCTCAGAGCCTGGAGCCTGTTTCAGATTCTGTATCTCCCTCTCTCTCTGACGCTCCCCTGATCACACTGTCTCTCTCTCTCAGAAATAAATAAAACATTAAAAAAAAAATAAAAAAAAATACCTTCTTGCTATTCTGATAGACTGTAGCTTCTGCTTCCTGCGGGGCCTGGACAGACAAAGCTGGCACTGTGACCCTCCCCATGCAGTCCTCATAGGGCTTGTTCCCTCTCCTCACCCTCGCTCTGCTGGCCCACCACCCTTCTTCCTCCTGAAATGCCCCTCTCCTCCTGCCCTGGCCCCAGCAGTGGTAAATCCACAGGTTCAGTCTAGCTTCACCTAATTCCAGCACCAGAGGTGAAAGCAGAGGTGGCCTGGGTCCCTCAGAAGTCACTGTCAGATACTGAACAGAGGCAGCGAGAGGCCAGCTGATGGCCCAAGGACTAGCAGAAGAACAGGCTCTACAAAACAGACTCCAGGTCACATTAACAGACCTCATCCACATCCTGGCCAGGACGTACACCCTGGGGACATCCAGGTCCTCAGTGGATCTGGTGCTGTTGGCAATGCTGGCTCTGCCTATTTAAACCACTGGCTCTGCCTATTGAGGGTAGGGAGGGCTTTGCTTCCTCCTGCTCCATCCCCGTGTCCTTTTCCTTGTCTGCCTCCAAGGCTGCCAGAGTAAATGGAAACTCTGAGTCCCCCAGGCACAGTTCTGCCCATTCCCCCTCACCCTCAAGCCCTTCCTCATTGGTGCTCCCACCCTTATCCTTGACTCAGGCTCTGCTCTGAGGTTAAATGGGACCCATCCAGCAGCTTTGGAGCCACTACCAGGTCTGGAGCCCTGGTCAGCAGGTCAACTCCTGGGTGCTGCAAGGAAGCAGGCCTGACACCAGGGCTAAGTACAAGTAGCTGAAAACCTGCTCTCAAATCCTGGCTCTGACACTGTTCCCACATCCGAGAATGCAGGGAGGACGTCAAGCTTCAGCCAGGTCGGTGTGCCCTGTCCTAGGAGCCCCTTGGGTTCATATTTGCCATCCCACATTTGCTCATGCTGCGGGTCAAAATGTAACACCCTCAGGCCTTCCCCTCACCCCCAGTCTATTGAAATCCTGTCAGGACCCAAAGCCCAACTCCTGAAATTAGACCTCTTGTCTCTGTCGGTCTTACTGGTGCATCCCCCCCCCCCCCCCCCGCCGGCTTCCAGAGCTAGTGGCCAGACTAGAAGGGACCTGTCTCCATCAGTACCACCCCGCTGTAAGGGCCACTCCTTTGGCAGAGGTGGAAGGGATTAAAAGAGACTGAGTCAAGAGATATATATATACCATAAATGGCAACCAGGACAGGAAGCACAATGGCCAAGGGTAGCTGTGGGTCCCCAACTGTAGGTATCTCCAACCCCTAGCCAGGAGGATCCAGGAAGACCCCTTGAAGGTGGTATCTTCAACTGGGAGGAGCCAGAGAAGGTGGGAAGGGAGGCAGGAGTGTTTTCATGAAGGTTCAGTGTTGCAGAGGAGTGGAGGTAGGAGAGACTTTGGTTCAGTCAACTCTAAGAAGTGTGATATGGCTGGAGGGAAAGGCCCAGGTAAGAGAGCGGTGAGAGGTGGGACCCACAGAGGCACTTAGGTCCAAGGGGAGCTGAAGCAGGTGGACAGGGAGGACTGGAGGGAGGCAGTGGAAGATTTCCCAGAAAGAGTCTTCTCTGGGAGGACTCCAGAGGGGAGAAGGGTGGACATGCCCAGGCAGATGTGGTTCCACATGCTTGAAGCTGAGGTGTTCCCTCCATCCAGCTCCACAGACCCTTGCTGCCTCACAAAACTGAGGAAGCATCCATAGACAGAAGGGTTTTGGAGAAAGCATAGACATAGCTATAACCATATGTGAGAATGTCCTTGTAACCACTCTGGATGACTGAGCCAGAGCCTCCAGGAAGTCATGGACCTCCAGGAAATTGTGGTTCTCTCTGTGTGTCTGTGAAAACAGATTGCATTCTAGGACAGAAGAAAAGCCAGGTTTTCATGGTGGTGATGTTGTTTTCCTATTTGTATTTAAATTGGGACTTAGACCATTAACTCAAAGTATCCAGAGCAACTGCTTTCTGATGCATCCAGTGAAAATAGAAAATCCTGAGTATAATTTATGAGTCTGTGTTTGTATGCACACATCTCTTATCAACAGATTTTTTTATTAGTTGAGGGCATATTTGCATTAAAAGTAGACACTGAGTTCTGCTAAAGTAGAAAGATTAAGGAATTTTGAGTCAGGTAAATCTTGGTCCAAATATAGTCTCAAGAGGATTTTATGTTTCCAGCTATGAAAGAGCAGCTTTTAGCACACCCACAAGACCCCCAAGGGCAACTAAATACAAAATACATCCAAAGAGCAAAATAAAACAAAAAAGTCTATTTAAGGTTCCAGGTCCCTATTTGTCTAAGGTCCTGGAAGGCAGTAGAGCTCTCTGTGGTGAGAGCCCTATTTCCTGCAATGAGCTGCCCCCTGGCACTGGCGAACTTCAGCAGTGCAGGCTGAGAGGCTTGGGGGGAGGGTGCTGGCCTACAGATGCCTGCAAAGAGCAGAGAAGCAGCAGAGGTTTCAGCAATATCATGGGCTACAGGAACAAAAACTGTGGGGTTATACCTTGCCAAGATGGAATGTGAGGGGTCCAGATCCCTGAAAGTACAGAGGTGCAGAAAAGGCAAATAAACGCATTGCATCTATTTGCCCCCATCATTCCTGAAGCGTTTCTCTTCCTAACCATCATAGGCCCAAAGACAAAGAAACCAATCAGAAAATATCTGAAATGCAGTTTATCAGAGAGCTGCATGCTGGGGAACTAAAAATTAGAGTTGGTGATCCACATAGGAAGACAAGATTTTTTTTTCATGTTTATTTATTTTTGAGAAAGAGAGTGTGAGTGGTGGAGAGGCAGAGAGAGAGGGAGACACAGAATCCAAACCAGGCTCCAGGTTCCGAGCTGTCAGCACAGAGCCCGATGTGGGCCTCGAACCCAGGAGCAGTGAGATCATGACCTGAGCTGAAGTCGGATGCTTAACCTACTAAGCCACCCAGGCACCCCAAGGCAAGTTTTGATAAACACTCCAAGGTATTTATCAGTGGGAGAGGCAATAACCTAAAAGAAGGTATACACCAGAGGCAGATCAATCCTTACAAAGTATGGAGCTAAGCCTCAAGGCATCATAGTCTCTGACAAAATTTAACAGACTATTTTTATTCTATATCACTACCGGGGGCTAGAGTAAATATTTTCAGAAGGAAAATAATATCATCTAAAGTCACTGCCCTGCTTCTTTACAATATCCAGTATTCAAACAAATATTAACAAGCGTACCAAAAACAGAAGCAAGAGAAAAATCAGACAACAGAAACAAATCTACAAGTGATCCAGATATTAGAATTATCTGGTATAAATTTTAAAATACGTGTGACTCATGCATCCAAAAATATTCTTTGCAGCTTTATTGCAATAAAATTGACATTTAATATCATGTCAGTTTAAGGGGTCTAATGTGTTAATTTGATATACTTACAAAATTGTAAAACATGGGGTCCCTGGGGGACTGAATCGGTTACATGTCTGACTCTTGATTTTAGCTCAGGTTCGTGAGTTCATGCCCTGCATCAGGCTCAATGCTGGTGGTGGGGAGCCTACCTGGGATTCTTTCTCTCTCCTTCTCTCTGCCCCTCCTCCACTCATGCTTTCTCTCTCTCTCAAAATAAATAAATAAAATAAAATATTTTTAAAAAATTAATTTAGAAAGAAAGAAAACTTCAAAACAATTACCACCATAGCATTAACTACCATCTCCATCACATCACATAATTACCATCTTTTTTTCTGGTGAGAATATTTAAGATTTGCTCTCTTAGGAACTGTCAAGTATATAATACAACATCATTAACTATAACTATGCTGTACATTAGATCTCCAGAACGTATTTGTCTTATAACTAGTACCCTTTAACCAATATCTCCCTGTTTCCCCTACCCTATGCCCAGTTCCTGGCAACCACCATTCTATTCTGTTTCTATGAGTTTGGCTTTTTTAGATTCCACAGATAATATCATACAGTGTTTTCTTTCTCTTCCTGACTTATTTCTCTTAGCATAAGGCCGACAAAACTCATCCATGTTGTTGGAAAAGGCAGGAATTTCTTTTCTCGTGGCTGAATAATATTAATATATTCATACTTATATGTATATATTCACATATATATGTATATATTCATATATATTCTTATACATAGTTTTATTTATCCATTTATCTGCTAATTGGCACTTAGATTGATTCCATATCTTGGCTGCTATGAATAATGCTGCAATCAACAGGGAGGGTAGATACATCCTCAAGAACCTGTCTTCATTTCCTTTGGATATATACTCAGTTCCAAAATTTCTATTTGGTTCTTTGACACATTTTTCTATCTCTTAATTGAACTTCTTGTTTTGTTCTTGCCATTGTCTTCCTGATTTCATTAAATTATTTGTCTGTGTTCTCTCTGACTACCTTCAGAATAATTATTTTGAATTCTATCAGGCAATTCATGGATCTCCATTTATCTTGAATCAGTTCCTGAACTTTTACTTTGTTCCCTTGGTGATGTCATGTTTCCCTGATTCTTCATGATCCCTGTAGCTTTGATGATTCTTCATGATCCCTGCTTATTTGAAGAAGCCGTCACTTCTTCCAAATTTACGGACTGATTTTAGCAAAGAAAAACCTTCACCTGTTGGAAGGGGCATCTTAGAGGCTCCAGTTGGTTTAGGGGGTACTGGGTTGGTGTGGGGGGTGGGGCAGTGGCTTCATCAGCTCAGGCTGTTGGGCCCACAGCATCAACAACTGTATGATCTTTGGTGAATACAGCA